GACTACTTGGTCTTTGCCACAGCGGACACTGCTAGACTCGCCTACGTGAAGTCCGAGCTGCAGAAGAGACACACGTGCACAGACCTGGGTGAACTGGGCAGCTACCTTGGCTTGCAGATCACCCGGGACAGAGCACGCCGCACCATTACCTTGACTCAGTCACACATGGTGCAGCAGGTCCTTCAGCGCTTCGGCTTCACGTACTCCTCGCCTCAGGCCACTCCTCTGCCTACTCGCCATTCGCTCTCAGCTCTGCCTTCGGATGAGTCTGTAGAGTCGAGTGGCCCATACCCAGAGCTTGTTGGCTGCCTCATGTACCTGATGACCTGCACACGACCTGACCTTGCATACCCTCTTAGCATCTTGGCACGCTATGTTGCTCCTAGGAGACACCGACCAGAGCACATGGCTGCAGCGAAGAGGGTGTTGCGCTACTTGTGCAGTACGTCGGGCATGGGGCTAGTGCTTGGAGGGCGGAGTCCAGTGGTCCTCACTGGACACGCGGACGCTTCTTGGGCTGACGACCAGGCTACGCAGCGGTCGTCGCAGGGTTACACCTTCAGTCTTGGTTCCGGCTCTGTTTCGTGGCGGGCTACTCGCTCGTCTTCTGTTCTCGGCTCCAGTTGTGAGGCTGAGATCTACGCCGGGGCCATGGCTGCTCAGGAGCTTCGCTGGCTCACCTACCTGCTGACTGACCTTGGAGAGCCGCCTCGTTCTCCTCCAGTGCTGTACGTAGACAACAAGGCCATGCTGGCCTTGTGTCGAGAGCAGCGCCTGGAGCACAGAACGAAGCACATTGCTCTCCGCTACTTTCTTGCTCGTGAGCTGCAGCAGCGTGGTCAGTTGCGACTTGCGTACGTGACCTCTGAGGCCAACACTGCTGATGTTTTCACGAAGGCACTTCCACCTTGTGATCATCAGCGTTTCTGCACTCAGCTGGGACTTGTCCTAGTCTTGCCTCACTTGCTCACCTCTTGACCTTACTTGTACTCTTGCATATATATATACCTGCTCTTGGTTGTTTAGACTTATATATATATGTCTCCTCCTGCATGTGAACTGACCTTGTGGCCTTGACCTTGTGCTCAGAATGTGTGGTGACGTTGTGATCCACCCTGAGCTTACTTTGCTTTGCTTTGCTTAACTGGTCTTGTGACCCCTTGTTCTCCCCCACTTTGCCTATGGGGGTGTGTCAGAACATTATAGCTTATGCTTTTGTGTAGGCTATAATGGGGTATCCCATAGGGGGTACAACCCAATTAGGGTTAGTACTTGTACCCACTTCACTCATACTTCATCCATTCGCGTTCACTCTTTCACAGGGGTGGCACGCTGGCCTAGGGGAGCAGGAGGCAGCGCGAAGGCTGCAGGACGGCGCGCGCAGCGCAGCACATCACAAGGCAAGGCAAGTAAGCGCAGGACAACACGCGGGGTAGCGCGGTAACCACAACGGTAGGTGGGCCTGAAAAAAAAAGACGGTCCTACGGACCTAGTGCTCTGATACCATGTTAGAATCTAGCAGGGATGAATGCACTATGGAAGAGTTGGGTACAAGTATGAGACCCTAAACGAGGCTGTACCCCATATTGGCTACCCCACTACAGCCTACACACATATAACATGCATATACTTTGACACGCCACCGCACGACTTGCCGGCGTGTAGCCCCTGTCAGCATCCACCACTGGAAGACGGTTGTAGCAGAGATTGAAGGGTCAGCTTCAAGCCGGAAGCGGCTTGAAGGAGGCGGGCGCCTGGCGAAGTACCCGAACAGGAGCAATCCGTGTACAACCAGTTCTTGGCCTACCGTGCTCGCGGCTTAGCAGTCTCCTTAAAACTTCTGAAGATGTGGAGTCGCACGTCAATGAAGAACCGCCACCCACAGGTGGACTAGTGCGCATCTCCCCATTGGAACCAGCGAGTCCGAGCATGGTGGGGTCACACTGTGAGGGTAAAAAACAAGATTGGCCAGCGCGCCTCACCAAAGGTATGTTGTATAAGAAGTTAGAGGCAATTCTACATACCATAGCCTTCCGCGCCTTTGCGACCATCCCTTTGTTATACGTCATTCCCGAGAAGCGTGTTCTAACTTGGAATTTTTTTTTCCTATGTGGCACACAGATTGCATGTCCAAAAGCGAGAGCTTCTGGAAATTCTGTCTCAAGCAGGTGGTCGAACACGGTATCGACCCATGGAACACAATGAACGCTGACCAGGCACCAGTTTTTCTGGAAATGCCTCACGAGCGGACACTTCACCACCGGGTTGAGAGGACCGCCCAGATTCACACGGCGGGCTACAAGAAGGAGCGGATATCGGTCATGCTGGGCGTCACCGCAGATGGGCGAAAGCTTTCGCCCATGGTGATTTTCAAACGCAAAACTATACCCAACATCCGCGTGCCTCAAGGTGACGCTATTGTATCATGATGTGCGGCAAGTGTTCAGGTTTCATGTAGAGTACAGCCTGTATATCTAATCGATATTGTTTCTTGCTTCCTTGCGTGCAGGCATGCTTATCCGACTCCAAGAACGAGGGTGGATGGTCGTCCCCCTCGTCATAGACTGGGTACAACACATATTCCTACCCTTTCTCCGCCCCACCCATGGCAGAACTCGTGGGAAGTCACTGCTGGTGCTCGACTTGTACCGCGGCCATCTCATTGAGGGGGTGCTTGGGTCCTTGCGCTGGCATAACATCGTCCCAGCTATCATCCCAGACGGCTGCACGCCCTTGTTGCAGCCTCTCAATGTCAGCGTCAACAGGTCCTTCAAGGCGGGAGCCCGGCAGGAGTACAATTCCTGGTTTGCTGAGATCGGCATCAACTCATTCATCCCTGCAGGTACCGTACCCTATATCTAAACCTCCTAGCGCACTCTTGCCTTAACACCGTACTTACAAAAACTTTTCCTTGTGCTGACAAACTCAAGAGGCCACCTACAGAGGTCATCCTGCGTTGGACCGTGGCTATTTGGGATGCGGTGCCAGATGACGTGATCGTGCGCACCTTCAAGACCACTGGCATCAGCAACATGCCTGATGGGCGCGAGGATGGTCTGGTCCTAGCGCACATGAGAGACCCTGCGCAGGTCGAGGTGCACAATGATGTCCATGCAGGGGGAGGTGTAGAAGAGTGGGTGAACCCACTCCATGCTTCCGGACCCATGGAGGATGAGGATGAGGAGGCAGATGATGAGGAGTAGATTCAGTGGTGAAGGAACTTGAGGGTGTACGGTACCTTAAGACGTGCAGGAGGTGTACGCTGTGTAGGAAGTGATAGACTAGTCTAGCTGAAGCATTAGGCAGTAGGTTGTATCTAACTGGGAGATGTGTAGTTAGGTTTTTAACCATGTGACCTGCTTAACCATATTAAAACGAGAAATTTAGTGTTGAAATTCTACATTTTGTAGAAGGGGGAGGGCCTTATAATGACTAATCCTACAACACGGGTCCTCACGAGGACTGCCAAAATAAAAGACCCTGTACCTGCATGCCAGTAAACCCCCGTATATAAGACCCCCTCCAGTTGTAGACCCCAGGGTCTATAATACGGGGGGGGGGGGGGGGGTACTCTATTTGATCCGTTTTAGTTATACCCCCCTTTCTAGTGCAGTCATTATACGGTCAGACCCCCCCATCCTTAGGAAGAATGTAGCATTTGCCTTTTTTTTGTATGGAAATCGAAGCGATTTCGGAGAGAGAACAAAATTTCTCCCCTTTCGATGACTGCACGTGGGTATCGCGCAGTCAACGTGGTCAAATGATGTCCTTTTCGCCACTGCCAATGTGGTGATTTCTAATCTGTCCAGTGGCGAGAGTGATGGCACCTGGCAAAAACCTGAGGGTGGTGACATTTGCGCCTTCACGCACATTCACTGCCAAGCTGCGAAGTATAACTGCCACAAATATACACAACAAACATGAATTCATTCTATTAATGTTAAAAACAGTTACCATGTATTAAGACCCGAGTCTTATAAAATATATACCATTTAATTATGCCCCCCAACTTTTTTAGGTTCAATTACCATAATCTAGGGTCTTATATACGAGGGGTTTATGGTAAGAGCCCCGTGGGTCCTACATGAGGGGGGGGGGGGCTTTTCACCGGGATATTACGGTATGTGGCCCAAATTCCGTATTCTCCCGGAAAAAACACCCTAGGGTATTATGAAAACCACTGGAAAAAAATGGGGGGGGTCTCCTCGAAGGAAAATCCTATATAATACCCGGGTCTTATGATATGGTATATTTTTTATAAAACAAAAAAGATGTGAAACAAAATCAGTGGTCTGAATTCACTTCAAGATTGTTGATCAATGCCGCAAAACCGAGTACGAGGATATTGTGGGCCACTTGGGCCACTTCACCTCTTGGACCACTTGCAATGGAAGATTCGCCAGCGTGGCGACAGCGAGATTTTGGGATTCACCAGCGTGGCGACAGCGAGATTGTGGGAGGGGGGATATCTCGGCTGATTCTAAGTGAAAGTACATGCGAAATTTCTTCTAGGGAGTGATTTTCGCGATATCCTCCCGTAAGGAATCGGACTCAATAACAGCTATAATAGGAATTTATAAGAAAAGGGGGGTGTTATAGAGAATCACCCCAAAAAGGGGGGTATAGTACTAACGGGGTCGGATATAACACCCACCCCGTATAAGCTACCCGGGGGTGTACAATCACGGGGGGGTGTTTTATCCGGGAGAATACGGTTCTTTGATGGGTCACCTTTAATTTGCTCATCTGTCACAGATGATCACCCAGTACCACCACTCATCACAAGCTTTTGGCAAGATATAACTGATGGAGTGACGAAGTTGGTTGGAACTGATCTGACGCAATGAGGGATTTTCAGAGTAATTAGGATATGCATGTTTTTGTCGTTTGCGCAAGATATCTGATGAAATTGTTGCTTTCGGGAACAATAATTTTGAAAACATTTCGTCTTAGCTCGCATGCAACCACACAATACATCAACCGACATAATTGCCCGAAGCTCACATGGTCGGGCGAGGAAATGATGTCCTAGCTTTCTGCTTCTTCCTCCTCCCCTTGGTCCCCGTTGCCTTGTGCAAGAAGAGAATGGGCCTGGTGCTGTCCCCTGTAGCACCTGGAACATTGTCCTGTTCAATGATTGGGGGTCAGCATGCAACCATGGTAGCAGAGAGAATGAAAATGGGCCCTGGCGCTGTCCCCACCAAGGCTTTTAGCAGTCACAACAAGCCCTGGTAGCACACTTCATACTCGTTATTGCATGCCATGGATGGTGCTGCAGGGAGAAACGCACCTTCAGAGGCGAATCACTATTCACCTCTTTTCCCTTTTCCTCTGCAGCTTGCGTACTTAGCTTGAGCAACAAAGAAGGGGGAGGAGTGCAAAAGAGGGGGAGGCGAGGAGCGTGTGTGATGGAGTGGAGAGGAGTGCTGGAGAGGGAAAGGAGGGGGTCAGCGTGTCGGTTGTAAGCGGGCAGGGGAAGGTGCAGCAGGTGCAGTAGGCGGGGGAGAACAGCGTCGATGCGAGCTCGGATGGTGATGGAAGCATGGCGGTCGAGAGGGGTGCGCTGGAGGTTGATGATGACGACGTGGGCTGCCAGGCGAGGAAGCTTGCTGGCTGGTGGCACCTGGTGGGGTGAGGGGAGTCGGAATTTGAACATTCAAATCAAAGGGGTGCGCTGAAGGTTGGTGATAACGATGTGGGTGGCTAGGCGAGGGAGTTTGTTGGCTGGGGGCACCTGGTGGGGATTAGGGCAGGGAGAAAGAGAGAGGGGGCACAGTGGCATAAGCGCATGCTCGGATGGTGATGCATTCATGGCGGTCGAGAGGCGTGCGCTGGAGGTTGATGCTGACGATGATTACGATGTGGGCTGCTAGACGAGGGAGCTTGCTGGCTGGTGGCACCTGGTGGGGGAAGAGGAGTAAAGGAAGTAGGAGGATCAACAAGTGGGCTGGTCAAGGGGTGTGAGCTGAAGGCTGATGATTACCAAGTGGGTGGCCAGGCGGGGGAGCTTGCTGGCTGGTGGCACCTCGTGGGGTGAGGGGAGCAAAGCAGTTAACGGCAGGAAGAGATCTTTGGGACGTCTCAGAAGTTAAGGGAAGTGGGAGTCTTAAGGCGTGGTGGGCAAGCAAGGGGCGTGGTGGGCAAGCAAGGGACGTGGTGGGCAAGCAAGGGGCGTGGTGGGCAAGCAAGGGGCGTGGTGGGCAAGCAAGGGGCGTGGTGGGCAAGCAAGGGGCGTGGTGGGCAAGCAAGGGGCGTGGTGGGCAAGCAAGGGGCGTGGTGGGCAAGCAAGGGGCGTGGTGGGCAAGCAAGGGGCGTGGTGGGCAAGCAAGGGGCGTGGTGGGCAAGCAAGGGGCGTGGTGGGCAAGCAAGGGGCGTGGTGGGCAAGCAAGGGGCGTGGTGCAAGGGGCGTAGTGGGCAAGCAAGGGGCGTGGTGGGCAAGCAAGGGGCGTGGTGGGCAAGCAAGGGGCGTGGTGAACATTGATGCCGCAGATGTGGATGGCCAGGAGAGGAAGCTTTATGCTGGTGGGACCTGGTGGGTTGAGGGAAGAAACGGAGAGTGGGTGGGTGGGACCATCCGCCTGTGCTGCCCCCACGACCTCCTTCCCTGCCAGCCTTCTCATGCTCTAGTCATTTCCTATGTCCTATGCCTCTCAGCATCGTGTGTTATAGAGCAGGATTGAAGTGGCTCAAAATTGTGCCAATTTAGTCACGGACCTTGAAGGGACCGCCACCACTCAGACGGACCTTGAAGGAGGACCCAAGGCAGAGCGCCACGTGTGCGCCCATGCTTGCTTCTCTCGCCGTCCTCAGCTCCTCATCGTCTATCCTCTCCCCGAAGTGCACTATCGAATCCACCAACTCGCCCCCACACACGGCCCCACCCTCATGCCTCTCCTCCCCTCCCTCTTCTTCCCTCTCCTCCCCTCCCTTCGTCACCTCTGCTTGCTCCTCTTCCTGTGCTCCCCTGCCCTCACACACTCTTGTCACTTCTTCATTCTTCCCCCCTCCTTCCCTCTGCTGCTTCTCCTCCGTTTCTCGCCATCTCCTCACACCCTCCTCATCCTCCATCCTTGCATAATCACCCTCTTTATGATAGTCACGAACCATAGCTCGAGGAATTCCTTCAGAATCTTCTAAAGTCGCAGCTCCAGGTTCATGCCACTTCCTCCGCTCGCCCAAAAGCACCTCTTGGTTCTCCTCTTTCACATAGCCCCCTCCTCCTGTGGACATCTGAGCTGACTTCTGAGTCAACTCAAAACTCGCCTTGCCAGGTTCATGCCTCTTCCTCCCCTCACCCACCAGCACCTCTCGGTTTTCCTCTTTCACACCGCCCGCTCCTCCTGCGGACATTCGAGCCCGCACTGCTGCAGAACTTCTTGGCTTCCGAACAGGATTCTGGGCAGATTTTTGTACAGGATTCTGGACACTTGGCACTCTCCGTTGCTTCTCCTCCTCTTCTTCCTCCTCGTTCCCCTCCCTCTCGTTACACTCCTCCCTAGCAGATACATCAACAGTAGGATGTGCCGATTTAGAAGCACCAGCATCATCACCAGTGGCACATGCAGCAGCACCAGTGCCAGCAGCACTGGCACACGCAGCAGCACCAGTGCCAGCACCAGTCACAGCGGTACACAACCTTCCAGTCTTGTGGCGGTGGTAGGACGACCCTCTGGCAGCAGTGACATCAAACGGACGCACGTACCCCGCCCCACACTCACGGCAACTCTCCCGGTACACCGATCCATGCAGCTCAGATAGCCGGTGAGAGGGGATGCCACTCCGAGAATGAAGGCCGTCTACTGTTGGGGGGAAGGTGGACGGGAGGGAGTATGGGTAGATGGGAAGTGAGAGGGAGGTGAGCGGGAAAGGTACCCCACTCCACCACCCATGCAGCTCCGATAGACTGTCTGATGGGATGCCGCTTCTGGAGTGAAGGCCGTCCACTGGTGAGGAGGGGAGGTGGACGGGAGGGAGTATGGGTGGACGGGAGTGAGTGAGAGGGAAAGGCATTTCACCTCACACTCCCGGCATCTCTCGCGATACACTGATCCATGCAGCTCCGAGAGACACCTTGATGGGATGCAGCTTCTAGAGTGAAGGCCGTCCACTGGTGAGGAGGGAAGGTGGACGGGGAGGAGTATGGGTAGAGGGGAAGTGAGAGGGAGGTGAGCGGGAAAGGTACCCCACTTGACCACCCATGCAGCTCTGATAGGCAGCTTGATGTGATGCCATCTACGCGACTGAAGGCCGTCCCCTGGTGAGGAGGGGAGGTGGACGGGAGGGAGGACGGGTAGAGGGGATGTGAGAGGGAGAGATACCCCGCCCCACACTCCAAGGCACCTCTCCAACCCATGCAGCTCGAGAGTGAAGGCCGTCCACTGGTGAGGAGCAGTGTGTTGGGAGAAGGAACGGGGAGAAAGGGTTGGTAAGCAGAAGGGGAAGCAAAACGGGAATAGGCAAGAAGAGGGCACAGTTACTTGGCCCGAAGGTGACTTTTGAGTCGACTCAAAAGTCACCTCATAAGAGGGCACAGTTACTTGGCCCCAATCACCTGGCACCTCTCCCGGTACACTGATCCATGCAGCTCCGATGGAAGATTGGGGGGGAGAGGAGAGGTGACTTTTGATTTGACTCAAAAGTCAGCACGATTAGGGGAGAGAGTAGAGGTGACGGGAGGGAGAACGGATTAAGGGAAAACGAGACCTTGGGAAATCCACCCCGCGCCACTCCCCTGGCACATCTCCCAGTACAGAGACCCATGCAGCTCAGATGGACGATTGGGGGGGGGGGGGGATGTCGCTACGAGAGTAAGGTCGTGCAGTGATGAGGGGTTGAAAGGGTGTTTGGGAGAGGTATGGTTGAGGGGAAGTGAGAGGTGAGCGGGAGAAAAGTGATAAGTGAGAGGGAAGTGACTGAAAAGGTAAGAAGAAGCGAGAGAAAGTGAGAGGGAAGTGAGTGAAAAGTGAGAGAAAAGTGAGAGGGAAGTGAGAGAGAAGTGAGAGGAAAAGGTAACTACCCCACCATCCTGACATCTCTCCGAGTACCATTTCCATGAGAGGGAAATGACAGGGAAGTGGGATTCATTGCATTTCAGATAGGCAGCGAGGGAGGGGCATGCCACTTGGAGAGTGAAAGCCATTGTGTTGCACTTGCACTATCCCAGCTTGTGACATCACTGCCCCTGCAACCATCTCTGTATTAACACGCTGGCTTTTGAGACGACACAGAAGTCAGCTTGTGATACCTCTGCGCCTCCAACCACCCCTGCAATAACACACCTCCCAGCCACTCCTATTGCCAACCCACCGTTCTGAGTCATCGATGCCACCGCTTCTCACCACCACTGCTGCCACCCCAGCTTGTAAGAGCATAGCCAGAATAGCTTTCCCAACTCAACCCACCGTTTTGAGTCGCCGCGTGTTGCACTATCCCAGCCCGCACCATCGCTGCCAGCGCAGCAACTTCTCAACCAATTGTCTCAGCACAAATAATACAGTGTGGTAGTCCCAACTCACCATTCTGAGTGACCACGTGTTGCACCATCCCACCCCGCAACATCGTTGCCACTGCAACCACCCTGCAACAGCACCTACCTATTATCTATCTGCACCCACCCTTCTGTTGCACCCACCGTTCTGGGTCACCACGTGCTGCACTACCCCAGCCCCCCACCACCATCGCTACCCTTACGACCACCCACCAACACCCTGTAGCTTTTTATTTGCACCCACCATTCTGAGTCACCACGTGCTGCACTATCCCAGCCCGCACCATCGCTGCCACTGCCATGTGCCCTAGCGGCTGCCAGCCCAGGTAGTTGTTCAGATAAGCCATTGTAATTTTCCCACCTAGCCTTACCGTTCTGAGTCACCACGTGCTGCACTATCCCAGCTCGCACCAACGCTGCCACAGCCATGTGCCCCACCGTGGGGGAAGCTTCCTCGTACTTCCTCCCCATGGCTGCCGCAGCTTCCTCCCACTTTCCCTCCCCCTGCAGCGTCCACACACCCTTGGGCCCTCTGAAGTCTGGTATGCCTGCTGCTGTGCTCAGCCCCGCCCCACTGTGAACCACCAGGCCCCCTCTCCCTGTCCCCAGTCCCCCTCCACTCACTCTTACTGCCCCTGCTGCTACTGCGACTGCGGCTGCTTCTGCTACTGCTGCAGCATCTGTTGCTGTCCCTGCTGCTGCTGTTTGGCTGTTGCCCCCCGCTTTTCCAAATCGCCGGCATTCCAGCACCAGCTGCAGCAGCTGCTGAATCTTCGCCTCTACTTGCTCGGGTGGGTCCTCGTCCTGCGGAGCAAGCAGAGAGGGAATGGGGGTGGGCGGTGAGGGGCAAGGAGAGTGAGGCACCTGAAAAATCCTGCTGAATCTTCGCCTCTACTTGCTCGGGTCGGGTGGGTCCTCGTCCTGTGGGCAAGCGGAGGGGGGGAGAGGGAAAGGGAGAAGGGGTGTGAGCAGCAAGGGAGCGGGTTGAGGCGACTGAAAGATCTGCTGGGCCCTCAAGACGTTGCTGGGCATCAGCAGCCCCTTGTGCGAATCTCCGGCTGCTCATCCCCGGAAAGCAAGACTTTTATCTCCAGCACCAGCTGCAGCAGCTGCTGAAGCTTCACGTCTACTTGCTCTGGTGGGTCCTCCTAATGCAGAACCACGGGAGTGGGGGGGAGTGAGGGGGGAATGGAGTGAGAGGAGAGGGGGAAGGAGGGCGGGCGATTGCGGAGGGGACTAGGGGCGATTGCGGAGGGGACTAGGGGCGATTGCGGAGGGGACTAGGGGCGATTGCGGAGGGGACTAGGGGCGATTGCGGAGGGGACTAGGGGCGATTGCGGAGGGGACTAGGGGCGATTGCGGAGGGGACTAGGGGCGATTGCGGAGGGGACTAGGGGCGATTGCGGAGGGGACTAGGGGCGATTGCGGAGGGGACTAGGGGCGATTGCGGAGGGGACTAGGGGCGATTGCGGAGGGGACTAGGGGCGATTGCGGAGGGGACTAGGGGCGATTGCGGAGGGGACTAGGGGCGATTGCGGAGGGGACTAGGGGCGATTGCGGAGGGGACTAGGGGCGATTGCGGAGGGGACTAGGGGCGATTGCGGAGGGGACTAGGGGCGATTGCGGAGGGGACTAGGGGCGATTGCGGAGGGGACTAGGGGTGAGGCGCCTCAGAAGTCTGCTGAATCTTCCCCTCTTATTGCTCCAAGGGTCCTTCTCCTGTGGGGATGGGGCAGCGGGGGAGGGGGTTGGCGGAAGAGGAAGGTGAGCGTGGGTTGGGTGGGGCGAGGGTGAGACTTTGGTGCATCAAGAGAGCTACACCCTTCTCTTGCCTCCTTTGAGATGGCAAGAGACTCTCTTGCTCCGGGCGATCCTCCTGCTATGGGGATGGCGCAACGGGGAATGGCCCGGATGGGGGGGAGCCCGACAGGTGAAGGGGGGTAGAGAGGGTGGGGAGTGGAGGGGAGAGAGGGTGCTGATGGGGGTAAGTGCGGCGGACGAATCTTGAATCGACTCAAAAGTGGGGGGTGGAGGGGAGAGAGGGTGCTGATGGGGGTAAGTGCGGCGGACGAATCTTGAGTCGACTCAAAAGTGGGGGGTGGAGGGGAGAGAGGGTGCTGATGGGGGTAAGTGCGGCGGACGAATCTTGAGTCGACTCAAAAGTGGGGGGTGGAGGGGAGAGAGGGTGCTGATGGGGGTAAGTGCGGCGGACGAATCTTGAGTCGACTCAAAAGTGGGGGGTGGAGGGGAGAGAGGGTGCTGATGGGGGTAAGTGCGGCGGACGAATCTTGAGTCGACTCAAAAGTGGGGGGTGGAGGGGAGAGAGGGTGCTGATGGGGGTAAGTGCGGCGGACGAATCTTGAGTCGACTCAAAAGTGGGGGGTGGAGGGGAGAGAGGGTGCTGATGGGGGTAAGTGCGGCGGACGAATCTTGAGTCGACTCAAAAGTGGGGGGTGGAGGGGAGAGAGGGCCGATGGGGGAAAGCGGGGCGGGCGGGGGCCTAAGTGGCAGTACGGTGAGCCAACGGCGCAACCACCACCGCCCACGCGTATCCTGCAGCTCTTCCCCATCGACCATTGCTTGTAACGCGATGTCATATTCGTGAGTATACACGCATGCGTTGAGATGGCCCAGAGCAAGTTGCCCAACTTGAAAAAAAAAAAAAGAATCAGATGTGACATTTTGCTCGCGGACGGAAGGGGAGAAACCAACCTCTTGTGAGAATTCTCAAAAACGATTCTCAAAAGAGAATTCTCAAGCGGACGGAAAGGGAGAAACCAACCTCTTGCAGTCGCTCTTTCTTCTGCTGCTGCCGTTCCTTCGCTTTCTCCAATGACCGAGAGATCTGCAAAGCACATAACAAGAAGGTGGTTATTATTCCGCTTTGAGTCAACTCTCAAACATTCTCTCTAAAAGAGATCTGAAACATTCTCCGCTTTGAGAAAGATCTGAAAAGAGAAGGCAGCCTCCCACGCACCCACCCACGAAACAGCAACCTCGCATTGCTGGTGACACGTGTCAAATGCTCGTCACATTGCTGAGGACACGTGACACGAGGCTTCCAATGAAACGAAGTTCATGTAGCAACGGTCACTGGGAGGGCAACAGTCACCAGGAGACATGCGAGGCTACGGGAAACTATCAACCTCGCATGCAGATCAACCATAGGCAACTTTGAAGACAAAGAGAGAGCAGCATGCGGAGCACGGGCCACTTGACGGGCTTTCAACCGTGAGAGGGTGTGACACGACGTGCGACGCCATGCGGCCGTCTCACCTCGCGTGCGATGCGGCTGTTGGCTTCCAGCAGGCGACTCTCCTCGTCGCTCCTCGCGCTCTCCGCCTTACCCAGCGCCGCGCGCACCGCCTTCCGCACCCGCCGCTCCTCCGCTTCCGCTACCGACTTCGCCGCCCATTCCCGCTTCCGCTTCTCGCGCTCGCTCTCCATTGACGGTTAAAAGTCCGCTCGCAATTGGCTAGCAGTCGGTTAGCAGTCGGTAACAGCCGGTTACCAGTCGATTGACAATGATAGGTTGGCAGTGGGACGGTACTTCTTTACCTAATCGAAGGAACGGGCGAATCAAAGGAGCGGTCCGTCTACACAGAACTAACTGACAGAGTGTTTCGAGATCGAAAATTTTTTACGCGCCGCGATGCGCGGAACAATCATACGCGGCAAGGCAGTGTGCGTGCGAGCGAGGGAGAGGTGAAACAGAGGTAACTTCGCCAGCACCGCACGGACAATCACGTTGAAACCCGAAAGAAACACGAACTCTACGTTATGGAGTGGAGAAGGAGAAGGAGCCGACCCCCTGGTTCTACTCCCAATAGCACATGTGCGATGACGCGTTCGCTGCTCACTTCGTATCTAGCCGTTGGCGCGTTTGTGCTGAATGGCGATCGACGGCCAGCGCGTGAATTGTCACAGAAACAAGCGGCTCAGATGAGAGCCCTGACTGACAAGGAGGCTGCAGCAACTTTTTCGAATCTTTGAAAAAACAGCGGCATTTCTGCTGCTTCGTTAGGAATCACTGTGTGTTCCTGACTGTAGATGGAACATAATATGAAAAAAAACCTACAAAGCACAGCACCAAAGGGTCATCTGGGATACACGATTATGGAGAAGTTGACAAGACAGCCTCATATGCAAAAAGGAAGCTTTCGCCTCTTCCTGGCCCTCTTCGTCTTGTATGTGCCTTAGCCAGTATTAACGGTATGACCTTACGCTTAATGGTCGAATTGGTAACCGAAAAATTAGCCCAACTTGCGCATCACAAGCTGCGTGAGCCAGTTTGGAGGAAAAAAGTCCGCTATATCTGGTGGAACATCTATGCCACACTCATTTTACAGAAGAAAACACATCGAACGAAAACGTATTCAATGCTCATATTATATCGGACTCTGGATGTCCCGTATCGAACGAGAAGGTGCGTTCCATTTCAGGCCGAGGGTGTCATGCCATTTCATCTCAGACGGAGGGTGTCATCTGCTCTGCCTCTGTCCGCAGGGCAGAGAAGAGTACTGATGACAGGTACCGCTCTCCAAAGCTCGGCAGCACCACCTGTCGCGCGCAAAAAAGAGAGGGGGGGGGGGGGGGAGGGGGGGGGGGGGTGGGCGGGAGGGGTTGGAGAGGGGGGGTTGGGAGGAACGGAACAGGATGAGGGAGAAGTGTTAGTGGGAAACAACAAAAGCACTGACGATAGATAGCGCAGAATCACCAAAGCAGGGCAGAATCACCTGGGTGTGCCAGAGAGGAGAGGGAGGATGAAGGGAGGGAGTGTGAGTGGAAAAGGACGAGAGCACCGAGGAGTGGTAGTGGCGATTGCCAAAGCTGGGGGGCCACCACATGGATGTCTCAGAGTAAGTGGTGAGAGAAAGAGAAAAGAGATGCAGGCGGAGAGAATTTCGAAATCACGCGGTGCGAAGAGGGAGTGGAGAGAAGTGCGAGTGGGCTACCCACACGAGCATGGGAGAGTGACAAGAACACACTGCACATGATGTATGGTGGTTTTGAAAGACTTGCCAGCAGGAGGATTACCAAGGGTTACTCACGGCAACCAATCGCTCTCGAGGATACTCAGAAGCTAGTCAGACTTGTCAAAAAGGGGATACCGAGAGGCACTCACGACAATCAGCTTGCCGGCATTCTCATAAGCGAGTCAGACTAGTCGGCACGGAATACAGAGAGATGCTCACAACAACAATTTTCTCTCGAGGATACTCAGAAGCTAGTCAGACTTGTCATACAGAGAGGCACTCACGACAATCAGCTTGCCGGCATTCTCAGGCCGCTTGGCCACTTGAAGCGCCGCCACCACCGCTGCTCCTGACGAGATTCCCACCTGCACAAGCAGCGAATGACAAAGACGTGATTTTAATTTTCCTTTCCTTTTTCTCAGGAAGGAGGGAGAATTGGAACAGAGAGCAGAGTTGAGATGGTGGTGTCCTTCAAACGCAGTAGGGACGATTCTGAGCACCACTGATGGGCATAAGCAGGTACGCCTAAATCCACTCTTGAGGATTCTCAGAAGTGATACGGACATAAGGAGATGCGCCTGTTACTGAAACGAGAGTGTCGATCAAATATCATTTTCTGAACAGGCGAAAATATTTCCAGGCGAGAAGATCACGGATAACCCGAAAGATACGCGAGGAGAGGCGGGCAGAGGAATGTGGGAAGAGGAAGCGTACCAGCAATCCCTCCTTCACTGCGAGGTCCTTGGCCATGGCCACCGAGTCATCGCTGCTCACCTGCAGAGAGAGCACGATTGAAGGGAAGAACACATATAGGGCAAAGGACGGCACATGGTTTGTTAGAATTCTTTGAAAGGTCTTCTAAGGTCTTCTAAGGAGCAGATAGGAGAAATTCTTCCAGATGCCCGCCACATCCAGAATGCTCAGCCCAGGCAGTTAGGTGTGATGACTGTTTCACAAATCATGATGGCATGACGCATGCGCTTCTGATGCAAGGTTGGAGTCATTCTTAGATTTCTCAAACATGATGCATGTGCTAGTCATGCTAGAGCAAGCAGGCACACACCGGAATGACCTCGTCCAGCAGCCCCACGTCTAGAATGCCCGGCACAAAGCCAGCTCCAATACCCTGAATCTTGTGCGGACCTGCACAGGGAGAGGAGAGAGGGAACCAAGTGACAGGGGAACACAAAGCCGTGTTGTATGTACAGTCATCATGTGACATGTGCATGAAACATGTACAGTGCAGGATGCCATGTGAATGTTGCCCTTGCCTGTACCTACTGCAACCCATACCTACCCATACCACACCTACCTCGGCCCCTACCATACCTGCCTCGGCCCATACCTGGCTTGCCACCGGACAGAATGGCGCTCTCCTTGGGCTCCACACCGATGATCTGCAGCGCATTACAGGGGGTGAGGGGTGGGAGGGGAGGGAGAAAGGCGGGAAGAAAGGGGGGAACAAAGGGAGGACGAAAGACGGACAGGGAAAGGGTGAGAAGGACGTTGGTTGCCGGACAGAATGGCGCTCTCCTTGGGCTCCACACCGATGATCTGCATCAAATCAGATGACAGGGGGTGGGGGGGGAGTGTTGGGGGAGGGCGGGAGGGGGGTTGGGGCGAGGGAGAGGGGAGAAGAGAGGGGAGATGCAGGTGAGAAAGACGTTGGGGGTCGATATTATAGGCTTTGGTTGGGTTCTACAGTGATTATCTGCAACCGTTTCAGGGAAGGTGGAAAAACGGGTGGGAAGGGGGTAGGCAGGAAGCGGGGACAGGGAAGAAGGGAAGATAAAGACTGGTGGAAAAAGCTCATACCAGTGCGGACAGAAACAGGTTGCTCTTCAAACGCCCATACCAGTGCGGACATTGACACATACTAGTGCTAGCGCCCCCTCTCCCCCTCGGTACAATCACACGCACCTTGACGCCAGGCTTCTTGCTGCGCAGGTAGCGTCCCACGCCAGTGACGGTGCCGCCCGTGCCTATCCCCGCTATAAGGATGTCCACCTGCCCGTTAGTGTCCTCCCAGATCTCAGGCCCCGTTGTCTCAAAGTGCACCTGCACCACGCCACATAGAAAAATCCGAGGCAAAGAATATCAACCAGAGGGAAGTGGCAGCACAATTCGCCCTTCATGCCCTTGGCGGGGTCCCGGAACACCCGGCCCGAGTTTTGAGACGTCTCAAAAGCCTCAGGTCCCGGAGCACCGGGTCCCCAACAGGTCTGCGAGCACCGGGTCCGCCCCAAACGCCTTCCAAAGCTACCAAAGCGTCCCTAAGCAGTGACATGCATAAAACGTCTCAGAACAATCCCAGCCCCTCCAAAACCGAGGATTTATTAGAAAACATGAAAGCTTGAAAATTCTACCTTGGGATTGGCGGGGTTTTCAAACTGCTGCAGCATGTAGGCGTTCTTGGTACCCTTCACAATCTCCTCCGCCTTGGCCACAGCACCCTTCATACCCTTGGCGGGGTCCGTGAGCACGAGGTCGGCCCCAAAGGCCTTGAGCAGCACGCGGCGCTCGAGGCTCATGGAGGCGGGCATGGTGAGGACGAGCTTGTAGCCCCTCGCCGCTGCTATGAACGCCAAGCCGATGCCCGTGTTGCCCGACGTCGGCTCCACCAGCACGCTCTGGGGAGGAAAGGGAGAGGGCCAGAGGGACACAAGAGAACAAGGGACAGCCATGAGGTCAAGCCGATGCCCGTGTTGCCCGACGTCGGCTAAACCAGCACGCTCTGGGGGGACGAAAGGGGGAAGGGGGGAGGAAGACGGGCACATATGAGCCCAAAGCCACTGATGCCCGTGTTGCCCGATGTCGGCTCAACCAGCACGCTCTGGGGGGACGAAAGGGGGAAAGGGGGAGGAAGACGGGCACATATGAGCCCAAGGCAACTGATGCCCGTGTTGCCCAACGTCGGCTCAACCAGCACGCTCTGCTCAATGGGGGATGGGGAGGAAAATCAGGACAGGGAATTTTGTAACCAGGAAAAGTTTACCTCTGATGCCCGTGTTGCCCGAAGTCGGCTCCACCAGAACGCTCTGTTAGGGAAAGTACAATGGGGAACACGGGATAGTGGTAGGGGGACACATGAGCTCACACCAACCCGATGCCCATGTTGCCCCACGTCAGCTCCACCAGCACCCTCTGCTTGGATATGCGGAACAAAGAGGAACCAAAGTGACACAAGGATATGAGGATAAGGGGACAAAGGGAACGATGGAACAAGGAAGAAACAAGGGATCAATGGGGCACGGAAATAAGGGGACAAGGGCCCACCACCGTGGGTGGGCGGGATCCCGAAACAAGGAGGAAAGCCTGTAAGAAGCGAGGAAGTTGAAGCCCAACAACCACGACACTGGCTGGCCGTGCTGAGGTAGTCGACTGAGACAATCAATGCGTATCCAATCAGAACGCAGTGAAGCAAAACACGAAGCTGGAAGAGCACAAACGTGGAAGAGCACAGGGAGGCTGACCTTGCCTGGAGCAATCACCCCTCGCTCCTCAGCGTCGTTGATCATGCTGTACGCGATTCTGTTAGGCAGGACGGAACAGGACGGGACGGGACGGGACGGGACGGGACGGGACGGGACAGGAAGGGACGGAAACACGAAAGGCTAATATTGCGCCTTCAAAGCTGGAACAGTAAGCTATCACTTCCCAGCATCGCTGCACATGCTGTACTAGATGTCATGATGTGATCAGCAGGACAGGACGGAAGAACAGGAGGAGGGTGGCAAGACTTGAGAAGGAGTTGGCAGAGCCACTTGGCTTCGAAGATGCGAGATGTCAGAGACATCAAAACGAAGTTGGGAAGGAACCAAACGTCAATTTAACTTCACTGCAGCACCGTCTTGTCCCTGAACGCGACAGCTCAAAACGAGACACATGAACAACGTGCATAAATCAAAACGGCACAAGGTCTTCCAAGCTCTAACATGCTGACAGCTCTAACCAAAGAAAGGACATGTAGCAACAAACCTGTCCTTGACGCTGCAGCAGGGCTCCATGATTTCGAGCTTCCCTGCGATGGTTGCCAGGGCGCCATCCACAACCTTGTTGAGATACACCATGGGGGTGCTGCCGATCAGCTGGTACGACGACCAATGAGGAATGAGGAAGGGAAAAGGGAGAGGCACAGATGAGGCGCCATCCACAACCTTGTTGAGATACACCATGGGGGTGCTGCCAATCGGCTGGGTCGACAATGATCAATGAAACATCAATGATCAATTATAGGGACAGAGGGAGACGGATGAGGCAACATGGACGACTGTTGAGATACACCACGGGGGTGCTGCCGACGATCAGCTGGGTCAATGATCGATGAGAAAAAGGAAAATATGGGGATAGCGATGTTAAAGACTTGAACCAGTATTGTTTAAAGGCTACTTGGGTCTATCAAAAATGTTAAAGCACAAATGGCTCTCATCGGCGTCTAAGAAACGATTTCCTGAGAAACAGGGAACGGCGAGAAGAATGCGTCAATGGCTTAAAAAACAAAACATTCGTTGCAGGACACGATCGGTAACCTGTGTAACATCCTCTGCGATGTTCAGCGTCTGCGTCGCTCCCTCCGCTTCAACCGCTTGAGCGTTCGCTGACACGTTGTGCTTTCGCTGACGAGATGAACCCGCCTCGCATCTGACACCCTCGCCGCGAAACGTGGTTACCACACATGGCTTCGCCTGAGCGAGCGAAACCCGGGAACCGACGAACGAGCTCCTCAGTTCGACATTCGCGATGCCTGATGTCGGCGTAACGCAGCGCGAGGAAAGCGAGGTGGCCATGGAAGCCGACTCGGAACGTCGAACGTGCGAAAAATAAGAGCGGGAAATCCGGCGAGGTACACGGATCAGAATCTCGTTGCTGATGACACGGACGGAGGAGCAAGAAATGCTATTCTAGGTCTATCACACTAGATGGCTGTGTGACTCGAATTACCTCCAGCACATTATGCACATCGCCTGGCCAGCTAAATATTGCTTGGCGGGAGAAGTCGAAGTTCAAACCTGCGGATTCTCGTTGCAAATATTTGTGGTGGTATGCGGTGATGTGGTTTGGACTAGGGAAGTCTTTCATTGCTGGATTGGTTGCTTGACTGACCTCCTCCCTCTCCTATTGGCTGTTTCCTGGGAACTGCTGTCCTGGGCGACGAGAAGAATCGGTCTCGCGGGTGATGGCGAGACCGACGAAATGTAACTGGAGACAAGTAACCCGCTGTGTTTGCCAGCATTGGGAGGATTCGACTCGGGTGACGTGGCCTGTGCTGGAGGCCGAGGAAAACCGGCTAATTTGGACAATGCCCCAGATGCACTGGATCTACCCATTGTAAATTATGTCATTGCACCATAATATCTGCCGTATAACTCTACAGGTATTTCATTGATGGCTTGTCCAACCTAGGCCAGTGAGAAGTGACTAGATATACAGACACACACCCAGGGAAAGGATCAAGGGCTAGACCACATTCATGTGCAAACCTCGCATGTTGAGGTCACGCCATGGTGTACCTCATAAACTCAGTCAATCTTCGTCCACTACCAGAGCATCCACCAATGCTACAAGAGCAAGAACAAGCGCCATGTCCACATTCGGCATGATGCGAATGAAGTATGTCTGCGCAGCTCCTGTGCAGCCATGGCCCCGGCGTAGATCTCAGCCTCACAACTGGAGCCGAGAACAGAAGACAAGCGAGTAGCCCGCCACGAAACAGAGCCGGAACCAAGGCTGAAGGTGTAACCCTGTGACGACCGCTGCGTAGCCTGGTCGTCAGCCCAAGAAGCGTCTGCGTGTCCAGTGAGGACCACTGGACTCCGCCCTCCAAGCACTAGTCCCATGCCAGACGTACTGCACAAGTAGCGCAACACCCTCTTCGCTGCAGCCATGTGCTCTGGTCGGTGTCTCCCAGGAGCAACATAGCGTGCAAGACTGCTAAGAGGGTATGCAAGGTCAGGTCGTGTGCAGGTCATCAGGTACATGAGACAGCCAACAAGCTCTGGGTACGGGCCACTCGACTCTACGGACTCATCCGAAGGCAGAGCTGAGAGCGAGTGGCGAGTAGATAGAGGAGTGGCCTGAGGCGAGGAGTACATGAAGCCGAAGCGCTGAAGGACCTGCTGCACCATGTGTGACTGAGTCAGGGTAATGGTGCGGCGTGCTCTGTCCCGGGTGATCTGCAAGCCAAGGTAGCTGCGCAGTTCACCCAGGTCTGTCACACGTGTGTCTCTTCTGCAGCTTGGACTTCACGTAGGCGAGTCCAGCAGTGTCAGCAGTGGCAAAGACCAAGTCGTCGACGTACACGAGGATGTAGAACGGAGGCAGAGAAGTGTCGGTGCGCAGAAACAACGACGGGTCGGCAGTAGAAGGAGCAAACCCAAGTGCCGCCAGCGTAGTCCTCAGTGTGTCGTGCCACTCACGCGGCGCCTGGCGGAGACCGTAGACTGGACGCCGGAGACTCCACTGGGTACCAGGAGGGAAAGACCCAGTGAAGCTAGGTGGGCGACGCAGCCAGATCTCCTCGTGCAGGCTGCCCTGCAAGAAAGCTGTGCTGAAGTCGAGAGAGTGAAGCTCGTAGTCCCGGTGAGCAGCAACGTGCAGCAGTACCCGAAGAGTGGTCATCTTCGGGGTGGGGGAGAAGGTCTGAAAGTAGTCAACTCCCTGCCGCTGACTGAAGCCACGAGCCACGTAACGCGCCTTGAAGACAGGCGGAGAACCCGGCGGCCGCTTCACCCTGAAAATCCACATGCCACTGACGATGTTCGCCCCTGGAGGGGGAACACCGTCAAAATAAGTGCCTGTGGACTTCCAGGAAGCCATCTCTGCATCCATAACTGCCTGCCATTGAGAGGAGTAGGGACCCTCTATCGCCTCCGCGTAAGAGCGCGGAGTCGGGATGTTTAGTGCATCCGGGTCTCCCTCAGGGGCGAGCAGTACAGACGTGAGATGAGGTGAAGCGGCGGCCAGACACTGGAACTCCTCCTGTCTGTCCTCAAGGACGTCCGTGCCAAGGGCACACTCACCCCCGACGGACGGAGGACAGGCAGACTCAGACTCAGCGACAAGACTAGCAGCGTAGTCTAGACGACAGCGCGCAGCAAAGTCGACGAGCTCGGTGACAAGGGCAGACGCAGCAGAAGACTCGAAAGAAGGGTCAGTGACAGCAGTAGCAAGGAGACGCGTGACAGTAGGACTGGCAGCACGAAGGGAGTCCGACTCCGGGTCGGCAAGAGCAGGAAGAGAGGAAGCAGGAGGAGAAGGCAAAGGGGCACGCAGAGGAGCAGTGGACGGACGCAGAGACATCCGGTGCGTGCTAGGGGGAGGAGGGGGACGCGGACGCGAACTACGAGCACTAGTGCTAGCAGGACAGATAGGCGACCTAGGGCGAGACGCAGGCTCACGACGCTCAGTAAGACCGTCAGTAGGTCCAGAGTAAGGGGAAGGAGCAGGCAGTGACTGAACAGGCTGTGGACACACTAAAGGAGGAGGAGGACCAGGAGGAGGCGAGAGACCAAGAACCTGCTGAAGGAGCGGAACGAAGTACGGCTGAGGGCGCGCGGCGACTCCAGACACAGCAGGGACAGCACTAGTGCCCCCAGCGGTAGTACCAACGCCCGAGTCCGCAGCACCAGCAGGGACTCCAACACCAGGGTCCTCAGCACCAGTCGCAGCTCCAACGCCCGGGTCCGCAGCACCAGCAGCAGCTCCAACGCCCGGGTCCGCAGTACCAGCAGCAGCTCCAACGCCCGGGTCCTCAGCACCAGCAGCAGCTCCAACGCCCGGGTCCGCAGCACCAGCAGCAGCTCCAACGCCCAGGTCCTCAGCACCAGCAGCAGCTCCAACGCCCGGGTCCTCAGCACCAGCAGCAGCTCCAACGCCCGGGTCCTCAGCACCAGCAGAAGCAGGGTCCGTGAGACGAGGCGCGCCACGAGGAAGTGTGCAACGGCGCTCGTACCACTCACGGATCCGCTCAAGAGAGGGGAGCTCCCGACTAGGAGGAGAAGTACCAGCACCAGTCTCCGTAGCGCGCATGGTCCCAGAGGTACCTCTCCGGAGGCTGCAGTACTGTAAGTACCACTCACACAACTGCTCCGACGAGAGGTCTCGTCCAGGTGTAGGACCCCCTGGCCCAGCACCGCCAGAGTCAGAACTCTCAGACCTAGCACCCCCAGGCTCAGCACCCCCAGTCACCGCACCCCCAGGCTCAGCACCCCCAGGCACAACACCCCCAGGCTCAGCACCCCCAGTGTCCGCACCCCCAAGCTCAGCACCCCCAGAGTCCGCACCCCCAGGCTCAGCACCCCCAGCGTCCGCACCCCCAGGCTCAGCACCCCTAGCAGGACGAGAGTCGACAGCAACCTCAACAGGCTCGACCGGGTCTACCTGTGACACACCTGAGGGAGCAGCACCCTGAGGGGGGAGGGGGTCTACGACAGCAACACCTGGCGCGAGGAAGAGAGGCGGGGGTGGGAGCGGGGCAGTGCGGTAGGGGAAGAGGCGGTAGTAGGGGACAGACTCGTCAAAAGTGACGTCCTGAGAGGGCAAGACCCGGCGCGAGGTGGCGTGGTAAAACTGCCAACCAGGCGCGTCCGGAACAAAGCCGAGGAAGACGCAGGGAACAGCACGAGAGGAGAGCTTGTTCGCAGACGAATCGCGGACAATAGCTCGAGATCCCCAGACCCGGAAACGCGACGCATCGCCAACCTCCCCCGTCCACAGCAGTGTGGGCGAGGTCTCCGGCAAGGAGACACGGGGCCAGAGGTTGAGCTGATGCGCAGCGTACCGGACCGCAAACGGCCACAGAAAGTGGGGGGCAGCCGCATGGATCAAGGAGGTATGAGCGACTTCCATGACCAGGCCAATGCGGCGCTCCGCAACCCCATTCTGCTGTGGAGAGGCCGGAAGCGTGAACGACTGCTCAATGCCGTGCTCAGCACAGTAGGCTGCCAAGAGGTCGGAGGAGAACTCACCACCTCTGTCAGAGTGCAAGCGCAGGACAGGAAAGTCCGAGCGGAAACGCTCGCTGAGCTGGAGACGAGCTCTGCGGATCCAAGGGATCAAAACATCAGGAACCTCGCCCTTGGTGCGCAAGGGGAAGACCGTGGTGCAGCGCGAGTAGTCGTCAACAACGATCATGAAGTACCTCTCCTGACCCTGACCACGGACGCGGGCTGGGCCCCACACGTCCATGTGGAGCGTCTGCAAAGGAGCAGTCGTCGGGGGAAACGAGGAGGAGTGAGGAGCGGCGCGCTGCCGCCCCTCGACACAGGGAAGGCAGGGAGGAGCAGGCGAGGGTGGGAGGGGAGGGAGGACCCTGGGAAGACCAGAGACAAGGTACCGGGAGTGCATGGCACGAAGGCGCTGCACAGACCGGTGGCCAAGTCGGTGGTGCCAGAGGACAGTCTCGTGCGCTAGAGAGCGACATGAGTAGGGGGCAGACAGCTGACCTGACACGGACGCAAACGCAGACGCAGACGCAACGACCTGAGGGGAGGCAGTAGTCAGTGTGTACAGGTCCGACCCCGGCTGCCGGGTGAAGGTAGCCAAGTGGCGGCCCGTACGAGCACACGTGCAGTGTGTCACACGCTCGTAGGCAGGGGTGAACTGGTGAACACCCCCGTCCTGGAGAGCACAACCTGCCACCAAGTTCATGGAGAACGAGGGGAGGTGGAGACCTGACAGTGTGCCCGACGGGTCCACAGGACAGGGAAGGACAGTGGAGGAGGTTGCAATGACCGGACCCCCAGAGGGGTCAGCAAGGGAGACAGCAACTGGCCGAGCAAGGGGCTCA